GCTGCTAAAGGCCATGTCTGAGACAAACCTGAAAGCATTTCTATTGATTTATGACAGCCATGCAGAGGTCTCTGCTTTACTCCCTTATTAATGGCAGCCTGGGAGGAATTATGGCACTTCAATTTACATCCTGAGTAAATATGGGATCACTCTGTTCCTCTAGAATGGTCCAAGTGACCATTACCAGGTAAAAAAACCCACTGAGATAGTTTCTAGATGAAATTGTGTTCCTGAGCCCCTTAAAAAACTCAGATAAATCAGATAAATATATTGTGTCCTGCAAATCCTTCTAATCCTTAGCCTTAATGTTAGAACTAGGCAGGAACAAGCCAAGAAGCTAAAACTGAAGTATATGCAGATTGCAGCAGAGAGAGGAGAGCAACTGCTAAAATAGCTGGAATACTCCTAGGACACAGTAAAGTGTGGGATATATCCTCTGGCTGTGAAACTGAGCTGAAATACAGCTCTGGTGCTTGGATCTTTTATCATTTCTAGTAGTTACACTGTGTTTTCTGTCCACACATTGTGGTTTTGTGGACAAAACTCCTCTTACTAGAATGCAGCTACAAAGTCATGCATAAAGGTAGACACGTATTAGAAAAATACCTTAGAAACAAATAAACTTCACCTCCCTTAAAAGCAATTGAAGTTTAACTTAGCCTAGAGAAGGTTCTCTTTTCAGCCACTTTAAAGTATCCTCATCTTTCTCCATGTTTGTAGTTCAAAGGACAATCTATGCAATTAAGTTCAATAGCACTTTGGGACATTCACTACCTCCTGTGGTCCAGAAAATTCAAGTTTCATAAACCCCTGTAATTAGCCACTGCAACATGAGGATAATGATGCAAATCAGCTATTTTGCCATCAAAAATTAGCATATAACATTTCTAAGAAATGTTTTAAGAACAAAATGGTACAAAATTCCTATATTTATTTTACTTAATTGTCTTAAAGACAATCAAGAAAGATTTTAGCATAATAAAAAGCCGCCAAACATACCTCACAAATGTTCTGTGTGTTATCCTGACATCATGTCCCTCCTTTGGGCTATCCTGGGCTATTCACATAGTCACAGCTGATGTAATCTGAAAAGACATCATCAAACTGATTAGTAAAACTTCATCAGGGGAAGATGTTAAGCACAGATAAGCGACATTGATAGTAGGACTAAAATTCCCTGCATGTGCTTACAATGAAAAAGCTTAGATTTTATTTTGGAAAATAGGTACTTCAGAGCTGGAAATCTTTAGCTGTTCAGTTTTGGAAATGCTCACATGGCATTTGGAGCAGGACAAAACCTTAGTTAGGTTTCTATTTGAGGAAGGGAACAGAAGAGGTGTGGGCCTGAATTTCTGTCTGTATAATTAAAACTGGCTAAAGAAGGTTTATTTCTTAGCTGTTTTATTTTCTAGTATTGAATTCTGTGCCATGGAAATCAATTCTTCTTTGGAAGGTTAATTTCAATTAATGTATTTTGAGAGCAATGTAAGGATTCTGACATTTAAGAGCTATACAGAGTCACTTTCTTCTAAAGGAAAGCTGCTGAAATGAGCTTGTTGGGGAAAAATACTTCAAATACAACATTACTGATGAAGTTCTTAGTATATATTTTCAAATTTTCCCAGTTCAAGGGGAATTATTCCAATAGAAACTTCCCCTGAAAAGAAGAGGCCTCTTGTCTTATTCAAACAAACTCATATATTCTACTGCAACGTAAAAGGTAATGCAAATGCTTATTATGCAGATAGCAGAATTATAGAGTAGTTTGGGTTGGAAGAGTCCTTTAAATGTCATTTAGGCCAACCCTCTGCCACAGGCAGGGACAACTTCCACTAGACTAAACTGCTCAGAGCCCTGTCCAACCTGACTTGGAATATTTCCAGGGATGGGGCAGACACCACCTCTCCAGGCAACCTGTGCCAGTGTCTCACCACCCTCAGCACAAAATTCTTCCTTCTATCTAATCTAAACTGACTCTCCTTTAGTTTAAACCCACCATCCCTTATATTACACACAGCTGCACAAAGCTGCTGATTGCTTTGTGCTTTGCTTTACAAATAAGCCTTTATCCTTCTGTTAAACAAGTTTTCCCAATTCTGTGCAATCCACAACCATTAAGTTGTCACTGATGTGGCACTTTGTGGCAGCTCAGTGGAAACACACAAGCAGCCAGGCTGAGTGTATCCCATTCATCTGCAGCGTCACCCACCCATCCTGAGCTGCAGATGACAAGCAATGGAAGATGACACTCTCAGCCTCTGCAGGTGAAATATTCAAGTCAGAGTAATCATCTGCAATTGCTAACACAGGATTTCTTCACAAGACAGGCACAGGATTTGTTCAGTCAGTTCCCTAATCCAAACAGCAATTCTCTGCAAAATCTGTTTATCACAGCCTCATCAGTTACTGGTTTCTCTGAAGTGTCACCACACAGCAGCTTCTGGGAGAATAAGAGATTCAGTCACTCTCACATGATTTCCCCCTCTCCTTCCACCTCTCCTGCTCCTGTATGTCCTTCTCCTCTCCAGCTGTCTACACCAGTATCCCCCAGCTTGGTCCCCTGGATCAATGTTCAAAAGCACTGAGACTTTTCAAAGAGACCATCCCCAGACACACTCATAGTTTTCCTTTCCTGCTAATTTATTTGCTCCAATGCCTGTTCTAACCACATTGACAAAGTCTTTGTTGGATACTTATAATATAAACCCATTTCACTTCAACCTCTAATATGCCAAGCAACAGCTTTTCATTTGACCTTTGAAAACTCTTTAGCACTGGAAGATAACACTAAATTATTCAATGCTTCATGCAAAACATCTGTTGGCACAGATGGTTAAACCTAAACCAATCCAGTGTCACTCTTCCGTGTTAGTTGAAATTCTCAGGCTGAGAATGTCTCAACCTCATTGTTAATGAAACATAGGCCTAAAATGCAGATGTATTACTGGAATAACTAAAAGCTTTAGAAGAAGTTGCACTATGAACTCATCACTGGGAGATGGTCCTGTACAATGCCTGTGCCTAAGATGTTTTTCCTGCAAGAAGGTTACCAAGGGCATTAGGAAGACAAATGGCACAACATAACTAATTGTACCACGAGGCCCCTGCTCTGATAATTACATTTTAAAAAGTCACTTCAGGGTTAAGCACAATCCTTTTCCCTGCTTTTTCTTGAGAAGAAAGGAAAAGCACTGTTGTAGGGGTAAAAAAAAAAAGCTAATTCCTCTGTATTTCAATTTAAACAGATGAACAGAATTTCTATATAGGCCAAAATCCATCAGATGCCAAAGCCTCACTGCTTTTTGGTCACCTTTTCCTTCAAGCTAGATGAGACAATTCCTAAGATTCGTCATGTTTCACTGGGAAGGCAATAAAGGGGATATCTTTAATTCAACATTTCTGATTGCAGACCAAGAAGTCAATGGCTGTAGGGACACTAACACATATTGCATACTGGAATAATAATCCCACAGTGCCTACATACAATGGATTTCAATCCTACCTGGAAAACACAGCATTGGTGCCAAATCAAACTCATACACGTGAAGTCTCACTAACAGGTTACAATATAAACATAAACTTCAATAACTATAGAGATTTCAAGTAAACCAAACTACTGCATCCAATTTCAGGGGCAATTTGAACAGTTCATTGCTGACAGATAAATATCAGATAAAGTATGTACACAGTCACACCTAGTTGAGAAGAATAACCTGGGTTTTATCACAGATCCAGGCAAGCCTAACTGCAAAGCCATTTCATAAGGCAACTGGGGCTTGTTTCAATTCTTTCCCACAGACTGCTCTAGCAAACACCCTCCCAGCAAACAAAAACTACTCCAAAGTG